TTCCCAATATGTAGAAAGAGTTGCTTTGCATATTGAAACCACTGGATTTATACCAGATGATACAGAGTTAACTTTATTATTTATTCAGTTACAAGATACAAGCAAGAATAGGAATCATCCCATATACATAACACACATCTGATACCATATGGGTTTGCTAGATCCTCTAGCACAAGATAGTGAAGAAACTGACCGATTATTGATTGGAAATGTGCTGGAGGGCTCAGAATTTCATAAAAAAAAATCATGTCAATAGCACAGGTTAAAAAAAAAAGACTTTTCCATTACATGGCAACAAGACAAGGAAATTGTAAAGAAATGTCCTCCTTGTTCTTTATACAACCACTACATTCAAGAAGTAACTCAAAGGGTGAATTGAATGAAATCTGAAGATGGATGTGTTTCATTTTGCAAAATTTGAAAAACTAAAATATGTACACAACACCATTGGTACTTATCCAGATTTTCAATGAGCAACTGCTTTGAGTTCAGAAAAGGTTAATTTGATAATCATACATTTGCTAGACGTCATGATCATCATGTACAAATAAAGACACCTGTACAAATAAAGACAGACAATGCTCCAGTGTATGTCTCTAAGAAAATGAAACAGTTTTTTGCTTAGTATAATATGAAGCATATTACAGATATACCACATAAGCCTATATGCCAGGCAGTTATATAAAAATCAAATCAAACTCTAAGAGATATGCTAAATAAACAGAAAAAAATAATAAAGACACCAGAAATAGATTACTGAATACTTTATTAACTTTGAATTCTAGAAACACTGATGAGAAAGGAGCAACAGATGCAGAGAGACATTTGATAGTAGAAAAAAATACTATAGCATTAAATCAGCCAATATACTGTAAAGATCTGTTGAACTCAGAATGGAAACCAGAACATGTGCTATGTTGGGAAAGGGGTTTTGCTTTTGTTTCCACAGGAGAAGAAAAGCTATGAATACCATCAAAATTGATAGAGATTCAATGTGAACAAAAGACACCTCTAAATTAGGAGAGATATTCATCAAACAACATGGCCATTTAATATAAACTACCCTATAAAACTTACAAATGCTTTTCATTTGATCTTGACAAAAAAGTCTCCCCAAAATCAGGATTGAGGAAGGGTTTTGTTTCTGTCTTTTCAGGTGAATAAAGGTATCCAGCTAAAGAATCTGAAGACCACAGGACAAATAAGATATCTGAAGAAAAAGGACAAATCATCCAGAAAGAAATGTCTCAAGAAGGGTACTAAATTGGTTTATTGGTATATCACATTTCCAACAGGATAAAATTTTGTAAAATTTTCCCAAATGTTTGTTTCTGCTATTTTCTACAGACATATAATGCAAATTGTCTTTTTGTAGCTCCAGTCTAATTAAATATTAGAGTAGGCTTTGGAATTGGAGTATGGCTCTCTCCTTCTCTAAACCCAAGCATGCTTATTAAAGTGAAATTCAAAATCTCTGTCTCATGTCTGAAGAGCCACCTGCTATGGGACAGAAAAGAAATATTTAAGGACTATTATATTTCCACTAATCTATGAGTATTTTGGTTTTATATTAGCTCTTTAAAACCTTTTCTTAAGGTATAAGATTTGTAATATTAATATATATATATTTCAACTTTTTGTCATGATATTAATGGTTATATAAAGGACTAAATAATTCTAGAAAATGGTTTCGTTTACTTGAATATCAGTTTTCTGCAGTGAACCACGAGCAAGCCTAATAGTGACCTTTGCAGTCTCCAAAAGGAGAACAGAGCCCCACAACAATTCCTCCAAAGACTATTATAACACTACTATGCTGAAAAAATACCACCTAAAGATTGTCTTTTGACTACAAATTGCTCAGAACAATTTTGAGGTGGCTAGTTGAGATGATCCAGCCTAACAGACTATTCTAGCCAAGGTCTGAGACAAGTCCTGGACTTTCCCATTATGCAGAGACTGAACAACAATGATACAGCTACCTCTCCCAGTACTTGACAATTAACCCAATGTTTTCTTTTCAAAATTCTGTAAATATACTCTCACCCCCAGACAGAAGGAAGCAAATTTAAAGAATAGGACTCCCGTATTTCTAAGAGATGGGGTGGGTGTTTTTGGTCATTCAATGAGTTGTGGCTATTTTTCATTGTTTAGTGGCATTGTTACATGTTGTTATTGGTAATGGTCAGGAAAAGAGCTAAACAAAGGAAATTAGATTCAAGGTTCTTGTTTTGAAAAGAAAAAAGGGGATAGAGACATAATAAGATAAAAGGTAGATTATTGAATCTACTTTTAAAAAAAGCAACTACTACTTTTAAATGTTTTACATTGGATTGTATTTTTGTATGTTGTATACAAATTTTGTATAATGATACAAATTTGAGATTTATTAGAACATACTATATACGCACTTCTACCCTTGTTCGAGGTATTGTACCTACACAATTCATTTAACAAAGTAGTGCAAATTTCTACTATGCAGGCTAGTAGTTAATCACCTATTATAATTGAACTTGTAGTCACATTATATATGTCTTCGAGGTCAAACAAAGATATATTTTAGATAGATAGGTCATCTTCAAGCACTTCAGAGATCTTCAGAATATGGCATTCAAGATGTTTTAATAACATAGATTCTTTTTTCATGACAATGAGGCATGTCTGCTCCTGGCAGCACTAATCTGCTTCAGAGAAGATGATAGGCATCGAAGAAACTCCATGTGGAGTTTATTTTCTTTGTGACAAAAGTAAGCCACTGGGCAAGAAAATGCCCTTTCCTTGACTTCTGACGGTATGTTGTCCTAATTGGACAAGCAGGACACAAAACAAAGTGACTGCCAAACATTGTCAAGACAAGGCAGGAAAGCCCTTCAGAATATGCTTCTTCACAGAAAGTGTGTCAGATTCTATCTTCATTTAAGAATTTTTTTATGTGTATAGATGTGTTGAGTTGGGTGAATTTATATGCATCACATGTGCACATGAATGTGTGGAGGCCGGGAAGCAGGCTTTGGATCCCTTGGATATTGTTCTGTGTAGGCATAAGTCATAGCAAGTCTGAAAGTGAAACTGGCCTGGCTTGGTCATTGCCACAAGAGACCAGACTTCCTCACCTGCCTTACCTTCAGGTCCACACAGACCCAGCTGTGCTGGCCAGATAGGGAACCAACTTAAGAAATCCACAGTAGCCTTCTCTGAGTGAGTGAATGATAAAGATACAGTGTCTTCATTTTATTTTGATGTTTCTTTTTCAGTGATGGATGCTAGTACTAAAACGTGAAAAAAGTATTTTTAAGCATATGATTCATGGTATATTTAAGGAAAACCAAAGAGCTAAATACTCTAAAATAGTTTTAATACAGCCATATAGTAAATATAAACATAGGTAGGAGAGCTGAAGACTTCAAACACCATGCATCTCCTTTGACCAGGTCTGGAAAGGCTTTCCTTTGAGGAGAAGATCACAGCACCACAACCTCACTCACTCACTTCAGGATTGCCCCACCTGTTGGCAGTCAGCCAAGGTCAAGGCAGCACCAATTGGAGCACTGCAATAAACTCTTGGAACAAGCACAGAACAGCGAAGTCGCCTTTTCTTCTACTGCCAGAGAGATGTAGATATAAATATTTTCATAGAAGATGAGGAAAATACCTGGCATATCGCTATCTTTTAATCTGGACACTGTTACTCTATTCACATGTAGCAGTTTAAAAGGCTACCATTGAATGGCTATCATTACTATCTTTCTTCTTTTCAACATATCTAATTACATTATTTATAAGCTATTCTTTGTAACATTAACTTACTCAATACACAGGTGACAAACGAAACGTATAAATTTCATGCCCTCTAACTGCTAAATTGTCTCCATCCCAAAATCTTCCTCTCAAGACATTTACGTATAAAACTAATGGGACACCTGAAAATAAAGAATTGCGCATACGGAAAGATCGTTTACAAATTGCTGTCATTGTGTCACCTCTTGAAACGAAGTGTGATACAGTGATATGCAAAACAGCAGCACAGGTCACACTTCCCAAGCCGTCTTGAGAGGCAAAACCCCAAGAATAATCATCTGTGACATATTTGAAACAAGTCTCACAGAGCTCCACTTGCAAACAAAAGATAAATACTCAAATAAACAGTGTGCATGGAAAGATGGCAAAAGAGAAAAATATGTAAAAATGAGCTGGTGAAAGGGAAGCCATGTGAAATAAAAGAAAGCCACCTGAGGACTAGAAAATGCAAAACTAAATATTTTTGTAACTAAAAAGATACTCTTAAAACAGTTACACGTAAATTAAAGTAGGGACATTTCAAAATGGAATGACATAAATATTACCATTTAGAAATTCCTTCCACAATCTTTTCTCATATCTTATTTTAAAATTAAGGAATACATTTTGAAAAAAAAAAACAGTAAACTTTCAAATAATTGACTGACAATCTTTGGGGGGTTGTTGCTCACACATATTTTCTCTCAGAACACGCTGAATCTAAAATCCTTTTATTGTGAACATAACACACAAGTTCATAACCCGGGGCTCAGTAACTTTTTACACATACTCAGAACCTAGAACCTCACAAACCCCAGGAGCAGACCTTGCTTCCAAACACATCCTCTGCAAACAATGAATTGATGCCAAAATTAATTTTATGGTATGTGAAGTGGAATCAAACCTCAGGCCAGGGAAGTGCTCCTTATGTGTGAACCAGTTTATATCCCTGATAGTAGGTAAGGATGAGGGTGCTATAGATCACACTCTATTGGGAACATTGTTAAAGAACTAGCAGGACTCCTTAGATACTGACCAAATCACAAGAAACTGAACTGTAAAATTATCTTTGTATCCTTGTCTAAAATAATTTGTATGTTGATATAAATTAAAATTATATTTGTTATATTGAGTATGCTCCTATTTCTGTTTACAATATTTGTGCACTTATGAAAAATTATTCTGTCATATTGTATGCATGCATGTTTCTACCTCTGCTTAAGACATTTTGGATATTGATGCAATTTTAGGATATATTTTTCATATTGCACTATACATTTCTATCTCTGATCAAGATACTTACATAGATTGTTTACATTTTTGGGATCATTGCCCTCATTTGCTATATATCTGTTTAAAGACTGTTTAATTTTATAATGTGAAACCTTAGTCTTTAAGCTATACTTAAAGTTTAAAGAATTATAAGTCAATAGTCACCCATATTTGCCATACTTATAGTTAGACTAGTCAGATTCTCTAAATGCACAGAGATTGTATTCCACATAGACAGAACTGTAGAATACAATATCTAAATAACTCAGGATTCTGCTGACATAAAACATGGTTGCTCCTGGCAGCACCAATCTATTCCTGAGAGAATGATGAACACCGAAGACACTCCACTTGGAGCTTGTTTTCTTCTTGGCAAAACCGGTATTTGGGCAAAAAATTTCCCTTGCTTTGACTATTGACAAAATGCACTCTGTCCAAACCTGAGAAACAAGATACAAGCAAAAATGACTGCTGAACCTGTGAAGACAAGGTAGGACAGTCTTTCGAATTTTCCTGCCTCTGAAAATGGTTTGTCAGTTGCTCTAGGTCTTAGCCAAATTTGGTTGCCCCAACATTGCAAATGCGACTTTGGATGATTGTCCAGATAGCAAGCTGTCTCTGTCATTTCTCACACCTTTTGGAAGTTGTTTGCTTGCACCACAGCTTACTCAGGAAATATTATTTTCCTTCTCAGGTCTTTGATGGGGTTGTAGACTAAATAGTCATAGCTACTTTCCTCTCATAACTTGGCTGAGACATTTTAGTATAAGATTTAGACTTCTCAGGATAGGACAGCTAGTAAAATAATCTCTGTTATTTGCTCATTACCTTAGACTGAACATGTAGCTTGTGTTTCTTGTTTGAGGCTGTTCATGTGGATTGTAGTTCTATTTTTGTGTATATATTTTTGCCTTTTATTTTTCCTGGACAATACTTGCTATTTGCTCTTATTGTATATAGTTTTGTATTAGGGTTAGAACTCTCTTATTTAGACAAAAGGGGTTGGTGTTGTGGGAATTCATTCAGTCAATAACTTCTTGGGTACTGGCCCATTAGGGCATGGTTTGAGGTACCATAAGCACAGACAGGAAGCATGCTTGCTTTCTCTTCATTGGTGGTCAGAGTTTGGCTCACAGCTTCCAGTGTTCACAGAGGACTGTGTCTCTCTATCCTTATTGTGAGTTTTTCCCCAAATAAGTAAATACTTGTTATCTTATATTCCAGGCTCTTATGGACCTCCCTAATTACAAATACATTGAACAAGTGCAAAAAGAGGACTTTTATTTTTTTTTGCATGCTCTCTAGTCTCATGAATCTCCCAATGGGTGTTTTTATATATTTATGGTCAAGAAGAAAGTGGAATTAACAAAATGAACCATGAAGCCTTAAAGTGATTTTAAATGTCCTCTTAAAATCATTACAAAAGACTATCCGTTGTATAGTATAGAAATAACTACAGTTTAGTTATAATAAAGCTTGGAAACCAATGTATGTGCCAAATGATGGTCTCAGCCACAGCACTTAATAGATACCTCTTTGTGCTTACATAACTATAAGTAGCATAAATTAGTTGAAAGAAGTATACTACCACATCCATGCTTGATTTCATACTGTCTTCCTTTCTTTGAAAGCATCTATTTACACATTATCAAAACACATTGCAGAAACTGTCAGTACGTCAGGCAAAAAAAAGTCCTGAAAATATTCTCCAACAGCTATCATTTCTTCAGCTGCCTTTTGAGATAGACTCTCACAAGGAGGATGCCTCTCACAACTACTAATATCTTCCCGCCCATCTTCACCACAGCACTTCACCATGACCAATATACAAGCCTGGTCAACAGAATCAAACACATGGCTCAGAAGTCCATTCAATTTAAGGGTCCCTTCATCATGGAAAAGTTTGCTTCCTGTGGAGAAAACAGAAAAGAACCATGAGTCACATTTCATCTGCTATAAAATGTACAACAGAATATGGCCTCTCCTTTCTTTGGTTTTATAATAGTTCTATTATTTCAATACATTTTTCTTGTGTTTTAAATTTTGAAAAAAAATTTAGGTATGTCAAAGAGAGCTTTTATCTGGGTTCTTTGATAGAAAAATCTCTCTCTCTACAAGCCTTTTTCCTGGAATTTTGAAATTTCTCTTTTCTTTCAACAACTCACACAGTGGAATATGGACAAAACCTTCCACCTAGGAATACTGGCCTAGGGCTGGGCAACACAGCTAAAAACAATGTAGGCTGTCTTGATAGAACACTCGAGGCAAACAGATTCCTTCTTTTTCAAACACTAGTACCTCCAATAGGACCAGGTGCTGACCAGGAAGCAGAGAAGGATGCCCTTAGTATCTTTTGGTCACTTGTTTGCTTTACTTATCCTCTCTTCCTGGAGACACTGTCGAGCTCCCAATGCAGACCAAGAAGGGAACTGAGTACCTGTCTTCCAAATATTAGATACAGTTAGGACTTCCACAGGTACTCTTTTTTCCAAAAAAAGAAATGGAAAGGTGGCTGTCAATATCTGATTTTTTTTAGTCCAAAAATCAAGCCATGTTTATCTCTAACTACCCAAAGACAAGTTATTTCTTTTATGTAAATATTAAAACCAGCAATTTGTGTACTTTATTTTTTAAGAAGTCAGAAAAACTACATTTCTTTAGGTAATAACTTGATAAATTGATGGATAGGATGATAATTGAAAATTGAAACTGTAAGGTCAATTCTCATGATTTATACTCTGGGAAACATGACTAAAATTGTCCATGTGTGACCGTCCGTCTACACATATGTCCCTAGGGGGTGGTGTGAAAATTCTATGATTTGTAGGCAGTTATGCTATTTTCAGTTTTGACCAGCAAACATTTTGATTCCCTGGGTAAGAAACTTATAAACTTACGCTTTAATTCCAAGAAGAATATTTTATTATAAATTATAGGTCTCTGGCTACTATGTGAACAAAGCACTCATTAGCATAAGTGGTTCTCGACCTTCCTAATGCTTTGACCCTTTAATACAGTTCTTCAGGTGTAGGGTCTCCAACCACAAAAGTATTTTTCTTGCTACTTCAGAACTGTAATTTTTCTGTTATGAATAGTAATATAAATATCTGTGTTTTTCAATGGTCTTTGTTGACATCTGTGCAAGGGTTGTTAGAGCTCCAAGGGGTCTACAGCCCTTGGGTTGAGAACCACTGATGTAAATGGCATTTCGTCGTTCACTTCTAAATCCCAACTTTGATCATCTCAGAGACTCTGTAATTTTCCTGCAGTCCTATTTCAACGCAAACGTAAGCTAGAAGAAAAACGAGACCCACAGACGCATACTTCGCTATCAGCTTTGGTGTTGGCCACCTGGATTGGAGTAGGTGAATGGAGCTGTGGGCCCAAACAAACACCAGTTCCAGGAGCTAGAGAATGCCCAGGAATGTTACTTCACCGTCCCAAGGTTCCAGATATTTCTGCAGTGCTTATATAGCACAGGCTGCTCTGTGGGTCAAGGGGATTAAGTTCATGGAGCAAATTTCATGTGATGATGCCCAAACCATCCAGAAGTCTCGAGACAATATGGGTGAGTATTCTCTGGGCTTTACTTAGGTTATTGGTATGGCATCTTGTTACCCATCATTATTTAACCCTAAGTTTATCTCATGGCAATTTGTTTTCTTATGCCTCATCCAAAAAGGCAATTTTTTTCTTCCCTTGTGTTTCACTCTCAGAACAACAACAACAGAAATGTAGATTATTGGCTACAAAGAAAATAAAACACCGAAGTGGAACAACCTTTCTCTGCCTCCTTTCCTTTTATAGACAAATAAGTCAGCCCTAGCATGTATGCCTGTGAGATAGGCTGAGCCCTTTGCTGGTTTCTTCTCTCTCCATACCTATTCAGCCCCTACCCCCTCTATGTCACAGTGCTCAGAACTGCACCCTGGTACCCTTGCCACCACCCACACGGCTCAGATTCAAAGACAATGAATTTATCATTCGTGAAAATACAAACGGATGCAACTTTTTCTGCTATTTTATTGTTATTATTTGTATACCTCCTTTGGGGACTTGAACTAGCATAATAAGCAAATCTTCAATACATTATAATGAAGAACTTAAGTTTGAGTCTTCTGAAATCAAGAGAAAATAATTCACGTCTCCTTACTATCTTTCTATCTGTATAAAGAACACTCAACAGCTCGTTCATAAACACAGGTTGACTGAATATAAGCATCTAAGTGTCTGACCCATGGAATTTCATATTCTAATAAGATGTCTTCAGTTAGTATTTATCTCAGGGACAGAAAATGTGATTTTTAAAATTTTTCACAGTAACTTGCTCTCAAAGACAGAATGAAAAAAAAACCTGTTGAAATGTTTAAATGCCTTGTTCTCAACAATACTCCTTTAAAGGTATCTTTTCCTTCCTGCTCCCAAGGTATATTCGAAACAAAAGAGAAAGAAGGAGGTGTGCAGCCTTAGCGTCTTTGCCCAGGCCGAGGACAGAGAAGTGTGTGGTTACTTCCTAGACAAGGAGGCGCTTACATTCTGTATTATCATCTCTGGCAAAACAAGCAAGCAAACAAACAAAAACCACCACCACAAAAACCAAAACAAAACATATTTTTCTTGCTAAAGGAGGACCAAGATCTCAAGACCTCGAAGCCTCGGGTGGGGGTGGGGATTCCCCAGCGTCTTGCTGGAAGTGAGATATCAGGGCTTACCGGGAGCTGAGAATGCCCGGTAGACATCAGAAAGGCCCACCAGGAGTTTGGCCGGGTGCATAAATGCCTAAGCCTCAGAGTTTACTTTCAAAGCAGGAGTTAAGGGGGGCGTGAGACTGCCGGCTGGGCCGTTTGGTACTTCTGCCTTCCACCATCTACACTATGATATGCCAGCAGGGAGAGCGTTAACTGAATGACCTTTCCAGGTACTCAAATTCAGCACCAGGAGGGCAACTGCGAGCCTTCATACTGTAGGCTCTGTTTTCTAACCAGGAGCTGTGATTGGCCAGCACCCAGACCCAGTTTAGTCAACGCGTGTAAACACACACACACACACACACCTTCTAACCTGGATCAGACGTCAATCAGGCAGGTCCCTGCAACCTCTGGCTGGGGGTTTCTTTGGCCTTCTTGCAGGTAAACAGCCACTTTATGATACGGGCGTTCCTTTCTACTACCGAGGTGGTGCTAGGCATCTGCTCCATGAGCTCCTCTTCTTGCAGTCCGTCCTCGCTGTGCCTGGAGAAGCTACTATCAGAAGTAGCCATGCTCACGCTCCGCACTTTGAATGTAACACTGTCGGACCCAGCAGAGAAGTTCTCTCTCCCAAGAGCCTCCACCACTTCAGGTTCCAGGCCGCAATAAAGAAAGAAGTTGTCGGGTTCGGCCCTGGCTATCGAGTAGCGGGAGCTGAGATCTGACTGAGAGCGCTGCAATCCTCTGCGACGCGACACCCGTAGCTCCACAGCGGAGGGTGCGACTGGAACCTCGGAAGTCACCTTCAGAGGCACATCTGGGGACTCCGTGGCCACTACAGGGGTGGGAAGTGATAACGGAGAGGCTGGGCTAGTGGCTACCCTCTGATCGAACTTGGTCCAAGTGACCGCTGTTTCCTTCGTCTTGCCCTCACCTGACACCACGGTCGTCTCAGGGGATACTGGCATTTTGTCCTTGGGAGACCCCTGGGAAAACTTCTTCACCGTTCCCCCTCTGGAACCGTCTGTTCCTGGCCCTCGGACGAATTCGCATTTCTGTCGGTAGATGACCAACGAATCAGGTCTCAGCGGCTTCCGAGGGATAACCCTTCGGGCTACGGGAGCTGGAGTAAGAGCCGAAGGAACTGGGTTGCGGTGCTGCACCCCTGGGGTCTCAGGGACCCTGGCCTCGGAGACAGAACCCTGGCTGGATCCCGGCGTGCTTCGAACGTACTTGGCGCGGTCGGCTGCCAGTCTCTCCACCGCGCTCTTGCGCGCTGGCCGCGCCGTGTGCGTGTCCTCCACCGCCCTGGGGTCCCGGAGAGAGGGTCGCATTCTGGCAAGTGCGTCCACGGCCGACAGGGCCCGCATTCTTGCAGGACCCGAACCCACCAAGTTGTCGTCCAGTAGAGACCACTCCTGTTCCGGCGCCAGTCTGTCCGAGTCAGTTCCGAAGTCCGCAAGGGGTGGGGAAACACGCCCCAGGGCCCCTCCGCCCAGATCCGGAGTTGGGGCGAGCCTGAAGGGCCGGGAAAGGTGAATCACTCCCGGCTCCAGCTCCTCCCACGCAGACGCCGGGCCTCCTACACCTGGCGTCCCCGCCCCGTGACCCGCTGCGAGGTGTCCCCGCCCCCTTACCTTTCTGTTTCCTGAGCCCCATCCCTGCTACCTTATCCCTAGGCTCTTCTGTCAGGTGTCCTCTCTCTTCTCTTGGTCTCCTACCTATTGTTCCCCCATCTTCCCTAACTCCAGGAAGACCCCACCTCCTCATCTTCAACCACAGCTTCCAAACATTCTCCTCTGTCCCTTCCCCCGTCTTTCTCTTGGAGAGTGGAACAGAGAACGACCGCTTGGGACTGCTCATTGTCAGGTAACTGAGGCTTCCTTCCAGTTCCCAAAGTTCTTGAGGTCTTTCCTTGTTGGGAGTTCTCAATTCCAGAGATTAGGGTGAGGGAAAAAAAAGCCCCTCCCCACTCCCCATCCCTCCCCCCATACACAAACCATTCATATCCTTGTATAGCCTCGTCTCTCCCTGGAACTTGCTCTGTAGACCATGCTCGCCTCGAACTTATAAAAATCCATCTCCCTGTGCTTCCCAAGTCCTAGGGTTAAAGGTGTACTCCACCACCCGTCCTTTTAATTCTTAAATTTAATTTAATTATTAAATTCTCGGGTTTGGAAAGTTTCTGATTTATTTCTATAGTTTCAATACACTACTTGAATAGGATACGAAAGAAAAAAAAACATTTTCCAGGTCAAAATTAGTAGGTGCTGGAAAAAAATCAAGAGCCACCTTAGACTTGGCTTCAATCCAAAAGTCATTGTCTCATACTCCAAGTCTCGTTGCTTTTTGAGAAAAATCCCCTAACACCTTTAAGAATCACTCCTGCTTGTGCTAATCCAGGGGATGGGAAACTCTCGGGTTCCCTAGGCAAGGAAGATCAAAATAAGAATGCTGAGAGCTTAAGGAAATAGTTTCAAAATTCCATCTTTCAAAAAGTTGGACAGAAGACAACAACTATCTGCCAGACAAGTGAAGGGGACGTTATCTCCTGTGTGGAGGCCTGTTTCAGGTCTTGCAGCTAAACGCTCTGGCCCCACAGCTGCAGGATTTAGTCCAGCTCCTTCTGGGAACCAACTGTGTGTCACTGCAGCAGGGGCACAGACCCTTCCTAAAGAAGAGAGGACGGAGGCAAGTGTGTTTAGTGAGCCCGAGAGAAGAGCCACATGGAGACCCAAGTCGGCTGAAAAGCAGTCTGTCTACATAGCCTAGATAGAAATGCAATCCTTTTCTTCTTGGCTGGAAAAAAGGGAGGGTACTTAGTAACTTATGGGGTAGGTAGAGAGAAACAGAGAAACCGTGAGACAGAAGACAGAGAGAGTGTGACAAAGGTCATGCTTTCTCCAACAGAATCAAGGAAGCCCAAAATCTAGCTTTTTTTTCTGCCCACAAGGCCAGATGCTACACACCAAGTCTAGTGTCCGTGTCAGAGGAAGCAGCCCTCATGTCTGAGGGGAGTGAATCCTTCTTGTTCACAGCAGCAGCAGTTATGACGAACCATAAACACATGTGCCTTCGATATGTCTGAACTTGACCGCTCCATCACCAATCATTTAGTTTGGGGAAGGCAGCCAACTTCTTCTCTTGGGTCTTTGTTTTTTAATCTGCTAATCCTGTTCTCATAATTTGCAATGTCCATTCGGATTCAGAATGAGAAGTATGATATAGCAGTAACAGCTTGGTCTCCACTCCTTAAGAAACTGTAACAAAGTACCCTGTGCCTCTGGTTGTGTAAGTAGAGCTCACTGTGTCCATCTGATAGCTTTCTAACTAGTAAGATGGCTTACATAAAATTCTTTGCATTGGGCACAGAGCAAGTTTCCAACCAATGTTAAAATAGTTATTGTTTCTATAATAATAGTTATGAGTTACTCGACTATTTTCCTTTCCAATATTGTTACTGAATTCTCATAAACTTGAACACATTCAAAATAGTAACCCTTCTTAGAGTTGTTTTTTTGTTTGTTTGTTTGTTTTGTTTTATTTTTCGAGACAGGGTTTCTCTGTAGCTTTGGAGCCTGTCCTGGAACTAGCTCTTGTAGACCAGGCTGACCTCGAACTCACAGAGATCTGCCTGCCTCTGCCTCCCAAGTGCTGGGATTAAAGGCGTGCACCACCACCACCTGGCACTCCAGCACTGTTTTTAATATATTGTTGTTAGACAAAAAATCTTAATATAATTTACTGGAAAATTGGATCTTGGGTTACCCTCCACGAATTGTCTCAGCAGACTCTTATTGCTCAGCTGGGAGTATCAACTTTGAACCCATTTCTTTCCTGGTATCCACCTCAAAAGACCTGGTTCAAAGAAAACATGGGTTAATGTTCTCATAACTGCTTTCACAGCTTATCCTAGAGAGGCATGAAGGACAGGTGTGTAGTCACTGTAGACAAAACGCTAGGCTGGCCGTGCGTGCAGCTTCAGGAGACAGGCCAGATAAGGCGTGACACATCATTAGTGGAATATTTTGCAACCATTTACAGTTAACTTCCTCCAACCCTCAGTTTTGGAAATTCCCATGGTATGAGAAAAAAATTAAATATTGCAGCTTTAGAGGCATGCTTAATCACGTGTCCTAGCCCTCTCAGGACACGGCCGCCTGTAAGCCATTAGAATAAGTCCCATATATAAGTCTGTGAGTTATGTTCCTCTAGAGAACCCTGGCTAACACACCCTGTCTCAAGAAATTAAGAATAGAAGTGAGACAGGAAATAACTAAACAAACAAAAAGACAGGAGTGAATTGAGAAATTGAGGACATTGGAGATAAATATCATAAATCAAATAATAGACCTCTACAGAACATGACTCAAACACTAAATACACATTCTTCTCTGCAGGTCATAGAATTTTTTCTAAAAATCTAAAAATTATCATATTTTAGGACTCAAAGCAAGTCTCAACTTAGAAATAATATCTTATACTTCATCTGACCACAATGAAATAAAGCTGGGTGTCAGAGACAAGGGTGCCCATTGGATGTATGTGTGTGGACTTTAATAAATCTGGTAAATCATTACTCAGTTAAAAGTTAAATTACAGAGTATCTTATTTTTGATGTTTAAAGGCATTTAAAATAATAACAATGGGTGTAAGTGCGCATATACAAATATGAGGAGCTGTATAAAAATATGGCATAGCACTGCAAATGAACCAGAGTTACGCTATCTGGGGAGAAGAAGAATTAAGTGAGAGCTTCAATTTCAGTTGCCCTGTTTACTTCCAGGAAACAACATGTTAGGAAAAGGAGGGAAACAAGTCAATGACCCCATAACAAGCCTTTCACGCAAAATAATTTATTAGTTTCCTTTTCCTGTGAAAATGGAAGTTGATTCAGTACTGCCACTGTGAAACTATGAGACATGAAACAGAATGTTAAGTATGAAAACCAACTGCAGCCGAGGCTACAAGCAATGTTTCAGCTTGGAAAGATTGAAGATGAAGTCACCCTGGTACAGAACACACCAGAGACAGGGTCGCCCATTGGAAACAGACTGGTAGATGAACAGGAAGTTGGCTACAGAAAATATAAAATAGAAATTCTGTTTGAAAATTTAAAGCTTAAAATTAATTGGTTCCATACTAAGAAGATCCTTGAATACCATGATTAGGAATCAACTTGTTATTTGACAAAACAGTGCTCATTTTTTCCGATTCTAAAAATATGCTTATCAATTACAGGGATTCAAATTTCATAAAACAAATACTAACAGATGTAAAACCACAGATTATTTTCAACATAGTGAAAGTAACTGATAGTGGGCAACTTCAGTGTTCCACTTTCACAACTGACAGGTTATTTGGACAAAAAATAAATAAACAGAGGAACATGGGAGATAAATATCGTAAATCAAATCGACCTCTACAGAACATGATACTCAAACACTGAATACACATTCTTCTCTGCAGTTTGTGGAACCTTACCTAAAACTCTAAAAATGATCATATTTTAAAACACAAAGCAAGTCTCAACTTAGAAATAATATCTTATACTCCGTTTGACCACAGTGAAATAAAGCTAGATGTCAACAGCCATAGAAACTACAGAATGCTTAAACTCATGGAGAATAACACACTGTTGAATGACTGTGGTTCAGATTAACCCCAGAAGGAATTGAAAAAAAAAAACGAACAATGTTATAAATGAAGTCAAAGCATATCACAATCTGTGCAATGTAATGAAGGCTGTCCTAAGAGGAACATTTATAGCACTCAGTGCCTACATCAAAAAAACTTACAGGATTTCAAATAAATGAATTAATGATATACCCTAAGTCTGTTCTCAGTCTGCAGGTACCAACCCTTTTTTGGGGGAGGTCACATATCAGATATTCTAAATATTAGATATTTACAAATTACAGTTAGGATGTAACAAATGAAGTCATTTTATGATCCAGAGTCATCACAGCATGAAGAACTGTATTAAAGTGTCATAGCATTAGGAAGGTTGCAAACCATTGCCTTAAAGTCTTGGAAAACTACAAACAAAGCAAAGCCAGCAACAGTAGTTGAGAAGATATAATCAAAATAAGGACAGAAATCAATAAACACTTACAAAAATGAATTAATGAAATGAGATGGTTCTTAAAATGATAAACAAAATTGACAAACCCTTAGTCAAATTAATCCAAGAGAGAGAGAAGACCCAAAACAATAAAATTAGAGAAGAAATGGGAGATATCATAAAAGTCACCAGCAGAATTCAGAAACACAGGAGGCAGAAGCAGGCGGATCTCTGTGAGTTCGGGCCAGCTTAGTCTACACAGCAAGTTAAAAGGACGGGCTCCAAAGCTACAGAGAAACCCTGTCTTGAAAACACAAAGCAAACAACCTCCCCCCCACCCAGAGATGGCTCTGCGTTGCTCCTTCGTCTCTCTGATCTTTCAGCATTTGCCCTGATATCCGGCTCTGAGCTTTTATTAAAACCAATTTAAACTCCTGCAACAATTGGGGCCCTGCTTTACAGCATGAATTCACAGAAAAGATGGTTTCCTGTGGTTTGCA